GTTTGCCTCGCCTGGAGATGTTTGCTTACGCCGAGGTTGAGTCAGGCCTGAAGACGCCTTTGGCATTGCAGGGTTTGGTGAAACCAGTCTTGGCCCCAATCAGATTGTTTGCATCACCTTGTATGTAGTTCATGTCTGGATCTCTATGGAAGATGTTAATCTGAGTCAGCCATCGTTTCATTTCTCTTTTATTTGTTAACAAATCCAGAGTGTGAACCGGTTGGCAATGGAAACAAGACAAGTAATGAAAGGAAATCATTCCAGAAAGACGGCTGCTTTTGTCCGGGTACGTTCTAAAGATAAGGACTCTGAGGCTTTGAACTTCAGTGAGTAGTTTAGTGTGCAGGTTACTAAATTGCTGTTCCCAGAAAAAGACAAGTGTATCATGATAAGGGTGGACTAGTATTGCTTTTTCAGATTAAAATTTGCTTGAGTATCTGTAGGCTAATGAGTGTCCTTAATGTTTTTAAAGGAAACCACCAAATGAATCTGAATTTTAATGCGTTATGAGGAGGTGATAGAGAGGTAGATTTGTATTTGTGTGTGCCCGCTGAGTTATCTCCATGACTTTGGCCTATAATTTGGAAGGCCTAATGCCTTTTTTTTTTTTTTTTTTTTTTTTGGAACCCTGGTGGCACAGTGTTTAAGAGCTCAGCTGCTGCCTCAAGGGTTGGCAGTTTGAATTCACCAGGTGCTCCTTGTAAACCCTATGGTGCAGTTCTACTCTGTCCTATAGGGGTCGCTATGAGTCAGAATCGACTCGATGGCAGTGGGTTTGGGTTTCTTTTTTAATGCCTTTTTTCCTTTGATGAGAGTCACGCACAAGTTTAGGGGGAAAAAATTCAACTTCTTGAGTACCCTACTCAGAGTTTTATCAAAGCAATACATGTCCATGATTTTAAAAATGAAACTGTACCGAAAAGATTACAGTGAAAAATAAGCATCCCAGCCCTGCTCTTAATCACCTCGTAACCCTCTCCTCAGCCAATCCCCTCAAACCCTTTTTAGCAATTTCTTCTTTTAATTCTCTCCGTATTTTTAAGTAATTGATTTAAACAGATATTGCTTACTTTATCAGTATTAGATGTTATCTACTTCCTGTAATGATGGATGAGGATTTATTTTTCACACACCGTTACTCCTCCCCATCTTCGCAAATGTTGTCAGGTACAACAGAGGCAAGGGGGAAATATTGGGGCTCAAAATGGGGGTTTAACTGCTTTAAGTGTTTTTACTTGAAAATATGAGGTGGATGCAAGCAGGAGTATTAATCTCCTCTGC